ATGATTACAAAGAGTTCTTCAAAACTTTCCTCATTATTGAAAATATGGAAAGTATCCGTATGAGAGTTAACAAATTTGCGCACATGAAGCCTAATTTCTTCAAGTTTATAACATATTTCTTTTTGGAAAAAAAGACCTTTTGTAATATGTAAATTTGATGCCAAGAGTATAGTTTGGATTTCCATGATTTTTAATAATAATTTTCTTTTGGAGATATTATTTAATTCCTTTTATGCTTAAAATATCATTTCTATGAGCAGAGCGTCTTCAGCATGTACTATAAGAATCCCACTCCTAAAGGATGAATGACTGGTATAGTGGTATTATATAGTGATCAACTGTGCTAGTTCAAAGTCCAACTTCATTAAGAACCTTGTATAGTTTTTTAAATCAGGCTCAAGGAATTTTTTTTAATCTATATATGGATCTTGATGGGTATTAATTTTGTTCTTCTCTTTAGCAACTTACTTGGGATGCTTTTCCATATGAACCATTTCAAAGTGATTGTCTTAAAGAAAAAGTATTGCCCCAATATGAAGTAGGGGCCACATATATGATTAATAACCATAGTAGTAAGGAGACAAAGATAGTGTAATTGAGTCACAGGGAAAGGTCTGAGAATAGACGATACCATGAACTTGTAGGTACACTTTTGTGACCAACAAGGCTTTGTAGTGTTTAATAGCGCCATATGGATCAGACTTGATTATGAAATCATCTGCATGGAATAGGCTCAACACCAGTAAGAGTTTATCAGGTCCTAGGTGTGATGATCAAGGAGAGCCCTTTAATTCAATATTAATATCAACTATATTTTTCCAATTTAATAGCAGTGTGCCTTGACATGTCGTTGGAATAGAAAAAATTGAGAGAGATGCAATACTATGAAATGAGAAGGATAAATGGTCAAGGGAGTTAAAAAATTAAATTGAGTGGTGAGTTTAGTGTTGATTCCTTTCGATAGAGTAATTAGGAGATGGAGAACTGTGGATGCTAGCATAAACATATACTTAACCATAGAAGATGGGATCCATAGAAGAGCATTAAAAAGTGACTATTGACGCTAATGAGTATTAACCTATATTAGAGGAGTTTGTACCTAAGCAAGAGGTGAAAGTGAAATAATTGGAGGAAATTTAGTGGAGGAGATAGAGGGGTAGTGAGGGGATGTTTCTTGAACGGTAACATCTGCGAAGATATTGACATGAGTGGTAGAGAGATCAAACATTGATAACTTTATGAGTTTGTGAATAACTCAAGAAGATACATTTAATAGCCTGTGGTGAAATTTTATCAAGTCCATAATAAAGAGAGTGAATGAAACAAATACAACAAAAAATATAAGACTTTAGGGGAAATACAAAATTATGTGGATATAGGAGAAAAGGGGTGCTCCATTCAGACTAAGGGAGGATACCCATTTGATTAAGCAACATATAGTTAGAATGACATCTTCTAGAATTGCCATGGAATGTTCATTGTGAAACAATTAAGGTACAATAAACATTGAGGGGATGACAATGCTTATGCTCAATTACACTTTTTTTTGGAAAGTCTAAGTGTAGGGTGACTAATTTACGATATCATATATAGTAAATAAGGAACAAAAAATGGATTGTATATATTCCAGAGCATTTATGAAACAAGTAATTTTGAGAAAAGTAAAAAATTGGAAATTTATTTCTTAATAATATTGCTTAAATGTAAAAAGGTGTCCAGATCAACGCTTTAACTTGTATGCCAAAGTAATTTTAGCATGATTATCCATAAAAATGACAACAACAACAACAATGTCAAGCCTCTATCCCACTACGTGGGGATCTATAAAAAAGACAAAATAATAAAACCCTAATGAGTCAAGACAGGACTTGGACCTTTGACATTTGAATGTCTCTTGTTAAAATGGAGCATTACTTTTAGAATATGTTGCGCTGGAAAAGGGGCACAATAGTATTTTCTATACTCGTAAACATCACATTCAAACTTAGTGATAGAGGATAGAAGATGAGTGAAACCCTGAAGATGACAATGGATGATTGAGTTGACAATACCATTTCTAAGGGGAGATGGTGGAAAATAAAGCAGTGGATGCGGTTTTAGAGAGATGATATTTCCCTCCAATTTCAATGCTACCACAAATCTTCTTTGTACTAAGATCTAGAAAAAATATAGAGTGAGAAAAAATTAGTGAGTAGTTGTGGGGTTTAAATAAGATAATTTTTAGATAGCATGTTTATTATAAGTGAGTAATATATAAGACATTGTCTAAAGTTAATGTGAAGGAGATGCATGTAGATCCTCTTCTAGAAACACGAGAGCTAGATCCGTTAATTAGTAATGACAGTAGAAAGACCTTGCTTAGTAAGAGAGGAAAACAATTGTAAAATTTCCTATCATTTGGGTCGAAGCACTCGAATGTAAGACACAAGAAGTATCAAAGTGAGCAACTACAAAACTAGAGGAGGAAATTATATAAGGGGCATTGAGTTGGATTGGAGTGTTTTAGTTGGTGATCATTTTCTTCTTGGGAGAGAATATTACTAAAATGAGCATTAACAGAATTAGTAGTAAAAGTGGTGACATGTTGAGCAGCAAGATGGTAAACAAAATTGTCCCAATATTCATCACATTGGTGATTAGTTCTTAGGTAATGCTGGCAAAGTTGAAAGGAATTATGAACACCAAGACCATGATAACCATGAACGGCTAAGCGTTAACAACAAGAGTAATATGTTCAAAGTCAAAAGAAGGCAAAGCAGCAAGCTTAATAACTTGGAGGACAAGAGAGAGAGAGAGAGAGAGGAGCCATTGCAAACTATAGCGTCGGCCATTAATTGGGCTTGAATAATCTATAGTAATGATGATCAAAGAAAAACTTAGCGATATAAAATTGCTCATTATGCCTAGTAGTGCCACACTGTGTTCAATGTTGAATGGTTGATTTTGAAGAAGTTTATTTCATTTGCCTTTCAATATACTATAATAAGCTTGAACAGATTTTCCACCCTATTATGAACCGAAGATATCATATTGGACAATATATACCTTATAAATGTTACTATCTTAAAAACATGTGGACTGAAGAAAAACTCACATTTCTTTAGTAATCTCCTAAAACATGGCAGTTGGAGTCAATTGTTGGTTTAAGACTATTGAGTATTCATGTGCAAACATTATAGTCAGGAGATTGCCACTTTGTTTATTTGGTGGTGACCATTGATTTAGAAGCAGGAGAATTTAGATGCTGAATTTTCTAATGAAAACAAATGAGCAACTGAAAAGCTCAAGATCAAAGAGATAGTTAGTTCATTCAATTAATATTTTATTTAATGCTTTATACCTCGAGATAAAGGCTTGGAAATACAATTCCTGGGCTGTGTGTGAAAAGTGGTACTCCAGACATTGAGATCTCTACACATGCACATCCATATGCTCACTTGGTCTCTCTCTCTCTCTCTCTCTCTCTCTCTCTCTCTCAATAACACACACCCCAAAGTACAACATTGATGGAAGGTGCATATCTTTTAATCTTTGTTAGTTGAGACTAAATATAAAAAAGTTCAGTTGCACTTTTCAGTAAGAGTAATTGGTGGCAAATTATTATTATTTTTTTATAGATAAGAGCTTATGTAAAAAATGGAGGTTTCTTTGGTTGGCCAGGGCATATTTAATCAGAACTTTGATTACTTTTTGATATTTTCATCTGAACCATCGTAGTGTTATATTTGTTTGAAAAACCATGTGAGCTCAAGAGAACTTGATGGCTTTAAGAGCTAGGGCAAAAGGGATTCACATGCTCCCGTTGCTTAAAATGCTCAATATGTGCATATGTGCCACATGGGCCATACATACATACATATATACACACACAATAGAAACAACATCAAGCACAATAGCAACAACATCAAGCCTTTATCCCTGTATGTGGGGTCGATTACATGAATCAATTTTCTCCATTGTGTCCTGTTAAGAGTCAAATTATTATTTAAATTTTATAAAGAATGAGAATATATATATATATATATATATATATATATTCAAATAGTCAGGAATTGTGAAAAATAAAACCTAAAACTTGTCAAAGGAGGCCCAAGTGATCTTGCGATCCTTTTGCTCTTTTTGCTGGTAACTGAAAATAATGAAAGCTTATTTATGTAGTCATTTAAGTGAATGATAGTTTCGGAAATTTCAACATCATAGGTTTTGAATTGAGTTTTGGTCGTTAGCATTGAATCACAACCCACTTTTTACAAACAAACTGTGTAGTACAATTTAGACATTGTACTGCAGCTTGAGAAAACTGGAAGGGCAGCTTTTCTTTGGGCATAAAAGTTAGTAGTATACTTATATTGGACCACTAGATATTCTTATTCATTATGTTGTGATTATTTGTAGTGTTTATGTGGCGGATGGCTCCTTGAATTACTTTATTACAATTACGTGCTTTTACAATGTAATAAGATGCGACAGCTCTAATAGTGAAGTTTCATACCAAATACTTTTTGATAATTACTGCAATATGATTTCCATGCATGCTTCTCTATGTTGATCTTCGAATAGCATTAATATTTTTAACCAACAACAACAACAATAACATCAAGCCTTTGTCCCACTTCGTGGGGTCGGCTACATGAATCTTTTTTCGCCATTGTGTCCCGTTAAAAGTCAAATTCTCATTTAAATCTAATAAGAAATATCATTTCTAATATTTTCTAACCAAGTCTTTTTAGGTCTACCTCATTAATATTTTAACCAATTTGGTTTAAACTCATAATTCATCAACTTTCTATGCATTTTACGTTATTAGAATTATGTTTATTTGCTTGAGATCAGAACCTTTGTTGTGTGAAAGAATTCCTTTTATAATCTGCTTATTTAGCATAGAGTAGCTTGGTGCACACCATTAGGTCAAAGTTCCAATTTTCATTGTTTTTTCTTGCAAATCAACTTCTTGTTCATGGAAATGCAGGAAATTGATTTTTTTTTTGACACCTTTATAGTGAAGCTGAGCGATGCATTCATCTGCTTGAGGAATCATTGAGCACTATGCTAAGCTGTTTGGAGGTTGTGGACTCTGACACTGCTAAAAGAGAGGGATATGTTTCTTGGGAACTAGGGGAGGCAATAAAATGTGCTAGCTTTCTCAGGAGGATTTATGAAGAGGTTTGTCAAAGCTTATAGAATAGTTTCTTTTAACCTCTGTCTAGCGTTGTGCTTTCTAGAACTGATAATTTTTTGTTACTCTTTTTGCATTGTTTGTTACTTTGCCGGTGCGCTATATTTTAACGTGGATTATTACTTGAGCTGTGTAACGTTTGAAAATAAATGAATACACTGCTTAATTTTGTTTTAAATTTGTTGATTGACAGAATAATTCTAAATCTCGGCACTGATGATTTGTACTCCGTTTACCACATAATTTTAAACATTGCTTGCAACATAGGTTTGGGCTCTACTTTTTTAAGTTTTTTAAGAGTTATGAATAGGTATACCCAATGCACAAAGCTCTTGCCAATGTAGGGGGGTCTAGGGAGGGTTGATGTATCCTCCCCTATTCTTGCATTTGCAGAGATTTATGTAAATCTAACCGATTACTATCAAATCACATGAAGGCAATTTAACTGTTGATCCAAGTCCCGCCGTCTATGTTCCATCTTGTAAATATGAATAAATCAACGAAATGTATAAAATTATAAATGAGAAATTTATTTATATAAAGTTGTAAATGAGAAATGTATAAAATTGTAAATTGGTTAAAAGGGATATGATTATACCAAAGTTTAAGATAAGGAATGATTTTGGGAGTTAATCTTAGGGATGTATAAATGCTTTTGAAGTACACTTGTTGTTAATTTACTCACCTGCTATGATTCAATTATGTTTGTACAAATGGCATCAAGGAAGCTAGTCATTAGGCAAAGGATGGCCTTGCTTAGTTAAGCTAGCTTTCATGGATTGTGATCTAGTTGACATTGTATTTGAACGATTCAACCACATCATTGCTTGAATCGATGAAGACTGGCTTGATCATAATGATCAATAGGTGGGACTCAACATGATCAAGTCAATTTTGCAATCATCTTAGTCTCCCAGCTCTACTCGGTGAAATAGATTTGTTTACATCCAAGTTGAGAGCAAATTTGATGAGGACATCTGCCTGAGATTCAGACATGTGTATCGTCGGATGAATCATAGATTGATGGCTATGATTCAGAGTCTGTATTTTTGATGTATTTTCTATTATTTATATTATGTTGCATTTGCGTTTTCCCATTTTACCCCCATGGGGAATTGAGTATATGTTGTAGCCCAAGGGCACTTTAGTCTTTTCGGTTTTCTTTTGTTTGAGCCTATTTATAGGACTCTTGCATTGTATTGGGATGATGAATCAATAGACAAATTTCAGCTTTTCTTTGCTCTTGTTGCTTGTGTGCTTCGGAGAGGAGAGATCACTCTAGGAGAGGGCCAACGCAATACCCAACAGCCGCTGGAAGGTTCGGCTCTCGGTTCTACCTTTCTTTTACTTCTTTCTTAGTTCTTTTTCCCTCCTCCATACCGCCGGCCACCTCTTGATCCTCCCCCAAACCCGAAAAACCCCCACATCCCCACCGTCGGCCTCCTCAACCCCTAGCCACTCGCCGTCCGCCAAACCCCATAGCCGCCGGCCCCTCTAGCCACCAGCCTCTCCCCAAGCCTCCATGAATTTTGAATTTCAAAATTCAAAACCCCATTCAATACTCACCTTATTTGCTATTTCTAATTATGGAAACTTTTTAAATCTAACTCTAATTTAAATTTAAATTAGATTTAATATTCTTATTGCTTAATTAGCTAACTCATTTAGGAAGCTTTAAATACTCCCCCAAAATCTCTCCCTCTCACTAGATGCCGCCGGCCCCCCCTTCCCTATTTTGCCCATGCCGCCTCTCTCTAACATAACCCCCCTCATTAACTCCCATAATTGGAGCTTAAATCAAGGATCCCATTAAAGCCTCCCAACTTTCCCTCTCAAACTCATAGTTTCAAATTCAAAATTTGAATCCCATTACTCCACTTTCACCCCCTCTCCAAAACCGGCCCATCCTCTCCCTCTTACCCACGGCCAACCTCTCTTCCCCAAAGCACCACCTCTCTCTCTCCCTTCCTCCTCTACTTCACTCAAAGCAAGTATGAAGGGCCGACCCGGACAATGATCACAGGTTCGTTGAAGACTCCCACAGGCGGACTGACATCATCCGATCCACTTTCTTCGAATTGAATTTGGGCGTCGACAACTCGATGGAAGAATATGTGGATCGCATCCTTTATCAATTAACGCTCTCAATTGAAGAACACATCCGTCCAGGACGGTTGTTAATTGGCGCTTATCCACCTACATCTACTTTGTCTACCGACCCAACGATTACTTTTCGAGTTTTCTACGTGGTATTAGCACATTCAACGTGGTATAAGCTCTAGGAGCATATACTACCTCATGTTCTTGTAGTTTTAATGATTGTCATGTGTATGAAATCCTCAATTTGTCTGGGAATTCTTGATTTGTATTCTTTTTGCATAGGAGATGAGTTTGAAGAGGCCTATAAATACATTTAAGATTATAACGTGATGGACTTGGGACCTTTTGACTCTCTAAACCTTGAGAGGAACCCTTTTAGATTCCTGAAAGTCATAGAAAGACATCTTTGAGCCTTGAGCACCTTTTGACGTCTCTTTGTCTAGTGGAGAGATTGATAATAAAAAGAATCAAATCTTCCAATTTCTCATTTTCTCTTCACTCCTCTTTTCTAAGTATTATTTGTGTCGATTTCCGGTCAAATTGAGAATGTCACCCTTTGGCAGTCAAATGAATATATATATATATATATATATATATATATTATTTTCACATGAAACTGTACTACTGTCCCTTTTTTGATCTCAGTGCTGGCCATTTTACTATTGAGCTTCATTTCTTTTGCATCATCACTGGGCAATACCTGCTACTATCATTTCAGATGCGGTTCTGAGCTTTTAAAGACTAAATTTTGTGCTTGTGTAACAGAGGTTTCATATATTAAGCAATTTTATTAACAGGAAAGCAGAGCAGCTTTGCTGCTTAGATGTATTTATTAAGTTCGTCTGATTTGGGCTTGTCTTTGATAACTTCTCCTAAATGCTTTTGATTTATGCAAGTTGGCACTGATTTCATGTTATCTGTGCATCTTATGCTTTTCAATCTACATTTTATGTGTTCATTATTTGTTGAATGCATTAAATGGGTTTCAAAAAGGCATACCCATCTCCCTATGCTCAGTTGAGTTTCACCATCTCTCCGCTTCCACAGCAAAGTTATAATCGTATAAATATGTTCTTCTTACTTGATATTTTGTATACTTTGTCTATGCAACTTTTTTAAGATACATAATTTTTACTCATTTGCAGATTCGACATCAAAAGGATGTTCTTGGAAAGTATGCTTTTCTCCTCCTTTCCAATTATATTTCTACCTTTTCAGGGTGCGGCCCTTCTAAAGGTGTCATTAGAAGGTATGTACTACTTGGAAAATTTGATGATAACTGGTGTGTTTATTCTTTATATCAATAATGCTCCAACTTGGTGCCTCAGTAGAAGTTATGCTTAATAATGTTGTTACTGTTTGTTTGCCCTTGTTCAGCAGAGAGATTGATGAAGCATTAAGGCCAGGTGTATATTCCTTGATAGATATATGCACACGTGATGACCTTCAACAGCTACACAGTTTACTTAGTGGTTGGTGTATTAATTTTAAAGGAGAATGAAAATAGCCGTTAAAAAAAGAAGCAACTTATCGCCTTACTGATTTATGAAACTTGTTAATTTGCAGAGGGCGCATGTAGGAGTACTCTTGCGACTTTGTTACATGACTACAAACAAAATTTCCTATATGAAGGAAAAATATAATCCATAGCCTCAAGTATTTGGTGTTGCTCTTGCAAGTTCCTGCTGTTGCTTGCATAAGATTGAGATTATGATATCTATGTCCCAAGCTAATTTTGAGAAAGAGCTCATTGATTATTCATTGTTGAAGACAGAAACGTGGCCCTCTCAACCATATAAGGTTCAATAACATGAGGTTTGTTATAAGTACTTCTTTCCTTTTAATCATATTGTATAACTTCCTTTTCATAATTTTTTTGGGGGTTTATTATTGTACTAAAGTGTGACAAAGCTTTTACAATGACCAAACATTAAATGAAAGCTCCTTGTTTATGTCTTTAGATGCAGATCTTGCACCACATTACACAAAAATTTGGGCAACATGCGCTTACACACGATGCTCCTACTGATGTTTCAACGGTCATATGAGGTTTCACATCAGAAATAATATTTATCTACTTGATTACTTGACTACATGATATTTTGAAGGTATCTTCTTTGGCTTCTTTGTTTTGGCGGTTAAGAAGCACTTAATTGTATTTTTTTTTGGTATTGATCTCAAGTACAATTAAATGTAGTTCTTATATTATATTTGAAATAATTTTAGCATGATCTAAACTTATAAAGTCTTGATTTTATACAAGTATGCTTAATTTATAAGTTAGCCTTCCTGTATGTATCGAATCAATACATTTTAACTCTTTTCTTCCATGTGTATGATAAAATTTTGTTCAATTTATGTTATGTTACTTTCAATTTACAAACTTGTTTGTTGATTCCCTGTTTCTAGCATGACTTACCCATGAACTTGGTTCTATTAACCTAGCTGAATCAAGAAAGTCCTCAATAAGTTTCTTTTTAATCGTGTACTTGGCTTTTGGCCAAATCAGCATAAGTTATTGATTGGAAACACTCGAAGATCTCAAGAATTTCCTATCAATCTTTGGAAAACAACAAAAATTCTCCATGAGAATCCACACAAAACCAGGAAACCAGTAGATAATTTGTATTATTTAATGAAATAGAAACTGAAAATACCAAGATACAATTGATCGTCTATTCGAGAGTAGGATCTATCTCTCTCAAATCTCTAGATGCCGCTAGATCTCAAAAACCTAAGATATCTCAAATTTCAGCCTAATTCAAGATATGCCCTAACCCTAGGAAAATAAACTATTTAATTCATACAATCTAAAAGAAAATCTCTAAACAATCCCTACATTCAAATTTCTCTCCTAAGCTTCTCCTAAAATCTTCCTAATCAGCTCTTGTAGACTGGGCAGCCCGATCATCACGTACAGGAGAGGCGGAGGAGTTCCGCCTCTTTTTCGCCCGGCCGGTCCCGTAGGACCGGCTGGACCGGTCTAACGTTATCTATTTGCATCATTGCATGACCTTTGTTTTGTGTATTTTTTGAAAGTTAATGGTTTTTATCTGCATTGCTTCTACTATGATATTAGTTAAGTTAAAACTGTAACTATCTTCAAATGCTTGATCCAGATCATATTGATGTTAGTTTACCATCTTAAAATACTTTGGTGATCTAATTTGATCATATTTTATGAATAATTGACCGTCATATTTGACGAATAGATAGACAACTTCATTAGAAATTAATTTTTTTATTCGTAATTACCTGAGCTAACGTTATCTTCCTCGCTTCGAAGATAAGTTTCTATTATTATCTTCTTAAAGACAATGAAAGATGACTGTTTCTTTTAGACTAAGCCACACAGCTGTATGAACAGTGCCGTCTTCCACAGCACTTCTTTCACACTTTGGCATTTCTTATTGTTTTTTAAAACAATTTTTAATTAAAAAAAAATTTTAGTTCAATAAATTTTTGAATTAAAAAGCAGAAAGGAAGCAGTTCTAAATGAAGGCTTTGTTTAGGATGGCTTCTTACTGCTTTTTAAAGCGGCTTTCTAGGATAAAATTTAGGCTTTGTTTGAGACGGCTTTTTTACTGCTTCTTGAAGCAGTTTTCTAGTACAAAAAATTTAACTTTTATATTAAAAAGTTGCTTCAAGAAAGCAGGAAAAAAACTGTCCCAAATGAAATCTTAAAAATTTTATATTAAAAAGTTGCTTTAAGAATCGGTAAGAAAGCCGTCAAAAAAAAAAATGAAGCCGAAGTCTGAGATTTTGTTTGGAATGTCTTATTGCTTCTTAAAGTATTTTTATAGTATAATAAATTAGGTTTTGTATTAAAAAATTTATTTAAGAAGTAATAAAAAGTCACTCAAAATAAAATCTAAGTATGCTTTACAATCATTTTTGTTTTTTTTGCTTAAAAAATTAACCTAATTGTTTTTAAAAATAACTATAATAGCTAGCCAGTTATGACCAGAACTAGCGATCATCAATTCATCATTGTTGTCATCAACTTGTGGACTGTGGCCACAGTTGAGTGCCACCATCACTATATAAGTTAACAAAATATATTTTTATGATATCAAATATATTTTATCTTATGGAAAAAATAAATATAATAAAATTAAACTGCCATTTTTAAGTTTTTTTTTTTTTAATTTATGAAATATGAGTATGTTTGAAAAAATTATTTTTTCATAGTAATTTATAATTATCTTTGTAAAAAATTATACCCGTCTCAAACAAATCCTTAGTAATTCAAAGATAGTTCTTATTAGTTGCTTGATGAGCTCGTAAAAGTAGAAATTCCATAAATACTTCATCTAAGCAAATTTGTTAAATATGTGGAGTTGATTTTTTTTATTAAGTAGAGTTCTAATATGATATTATTATTTATTTATTATTATTATTTGAAATTATGTTAGTATTATTTTGGAAAATTATAATTTGAGAAAATTATGTATTTGTAATTATTTTTTGAGATTTTGTTTGTGGCCTTGTGGGGTTTAAAGAGTTATTATATTTATATATTATTTTAATTACAAGTACCACCTTTGTGATCTCTCAAGAGCATTTTGGCTTAAACGATTATGGTAGAAGGAAGAATGGGAGGAATTGCTTGGAGTAAAATAGAGTGAAGTGAGAAAACTATCTAAAATGAAACTTTAGTATAATATCACTAATGATAATTAAGATTGGTTTGATATTTTGAAGAAGAGGTTTTTAATTTTTCATCGCTAAAAGGAGGGAGGTCCTTCACTCTATTCTTAAGAGTGAACATGAGTTTTTTTCACCACCTTGATTTGCTTGATATTGCCTTAATCATAGTAGTAATCTTTATTAATCGTTAATCTTGTAAGATGAGCATCATCATATATCTCTCTTATTGTTTGTGGAGCTTTTGATCTTTATGTGGTGTAATAAGATGTGGATTTCATTGAACCTCATAAATTTGTGTATTTTTATTTCTATGAGTATTCTCATCTTCAATTGATATTAGTTTTTTACTATCAAAATTTTTTTAGCTTATTTTACTATTATTTTGTTATAATTGGTATTTGAAATTTAAGCTTCATTTCAAACAATTTTCTTATTGTTTTTTAAAATAAATTTTTAGCACAAAAATTTTTTTAACTAAAAAATTTTATATTAAAAAACTGTTTTAGAAAGCAATAAGAAAGTTGCCTCAAACGAAGCTTTAGTTAAGGTAGCTTTTGAATTTAAGCATAGAGAATGAGATCAACATTGACAAATTTGATGACCAAAATTTTGAGTTAATGAAGAGGATTATCTTTATAAGAGAGAGTTTTATTAATTATTGAAAGGAATAAAACATCAATTTCATGATCAAGAGGAGTGGGAGCTAATGGACAAACAAGCATGTAACTCATTCGCTTATTCTTTAACATGAATGTCACATTCAACATCCTCAATGAAATAATCACCACAAACATCATAAAAGTGCTTTTTAAAATGTTAGAAAAGCCCAATATCAGCAATAAATTACGCTTAGTACACAATAGTGTTATCTTCGATCATTGAGCATATCAACAAGTCCAACTCAATTACATCATTGTAGAATTTGTGACATTACATTAAATAATTTGATTTATGTCTTGAGTTTTCTTTCATTGTTATACAAATATTGGGATATTATTGCAATAGTAGTCATTAATTTTTATATATTATCCATGATAAATATTACTGATATTAAAGATCTTATAATGATTAATGATGATAATAGATAATACTAGAAAAGTATAAGTATATCATCTTATGTGGAGCTAGCTTGAATCTAGATTGAGATGTAATTGTACTTATCTCATGAATGTGATAAAATAATTTCTTAAAAAATAAAGATTATATGTTATAAAATAAGTTTTCTTAAATAATGTTTATTCTTTTATTTGTTTTTAGGAATGTTTTTAAGGTATGTTAATAATTTGATCTGCTCAAAGTTAGTTGACCAAATCTTTCTTTTAAGGTTATATGATTCAAATATTGAGAGAATTTCAAACTTCCAAGTTTAATTAAAAAGGATGAATTAAGAAATAAAATGATTAAAATAAGCTTTAAACTAAAAACTATATTAATCTTTAATTAATATTTAAATATTTAATAATTCTATTAAAATTTTATAATTAGGAAAAAGATTTTTTTTTTCATTATAATTTTAATATAAAATAAGGGAAAAATAAAGTCCTTAAAATAAGTATATTACATGGACTATAAATAATTTTGACACTTTAATAAATAAGTAGAAATTAATCAATATTTCCTCCACTTCTAATTTATATATAATTAAATGTTACAAAATAATTTATACATTAAAACAATTAAAATTTTATGATGATAAGCCAATTAATTTAAAATATGTTAATAAATAAATATGAATATTTATATAACACATATTAATAAAAATTACCAAAAATTTATGTACCATAAGAGATTAAGAGAAAAAAACGTGGAAAACCCTCAGACATGGAATCTTCATTACATGTTGAATTAAAATAAACGTTATGATTATCCTAATTCTGTTTTTTAAAGTATAGCCATCAATGGATAGACAGATAGCTGATAAAAAAATTAAAACAGAATATGTATAGACAGATAGGTCAATATAGCTTACACGTCTATGTGTGGATAGTTGGAAACTCACAAAAGAAAACAATATAGTACATTTGATAATTTTCCTCCCAAAAAGTCCTGATTTTGACTTACTGATTCCTTCCCCTTCTCAACACTGACAACACATATATTATTATCTTTGCCGACGCTTGACTCGTATGTGTGATTCATTTTGCATTTGGAAGCTTCGTACGTTTTTATCATATATTTATGTTCATTTGGTGAAATTATTCTATGTGGGTGCTGAACGTTATTCGGAAATCAATCAGAATATACCACGTCACCTCCAGCTCGATATATGGCTCGGTACTGTTCAGTACCGTGCTTCGGTACCGCTGACGTGACACATTCTACTTTGCCTTTGGACGGTGAATTGCGTTGGCATCTGCACAGGATAATCTTCCAATTCATTTGAGATTATTCTTTTAATGTTTTTTTAAAATAATTTTTCAATATATATTTTTTAATATTTATGAAGCAGTAAAATGATTTTTCCAAGTATCATTTAGGGTGAAAACTTGCTTAAAAAATAAGAAAAAAAATTAACAAATAGAGTTGACAATTTCTTAAAAAAATTTATTTTCTATTTCATATGTATTATTATATATTTCACAATTTTATTTTATCTGCCCTTAAAAAAAGTTTGATTTCGCCTCTCCCTCATA